CTTTCCCTTGAAATAAGTCAGAACAAGAAAAACAGTCTTTTTTTGAACCCTCCCCAGAAATTTTCCTGTGGAACAATAAGCTATGTATACTTCACTAACAATACACCAAGCAGGGGGGAAATGGGGTGGCATCTCTACCTGAAGTCACTGAGGAAACGCTGCAGGTCGTGAGAATCCCCAAGCTTCTCTTTGCGCTGGTCAGCACGTTTTCCCAGGCTATTCCAAGCCTGATTCAACTCCGTACATTTTTCCTGGAGATCTTCAGCAGCTTCTGGATGTGACTGGATCAGACGCTGGGCAGTTTCACCAAGAGAATTGACCTAAAGGGAAAAGGAAATCAACACAATGAAGAAATAAAATAATCTTTTCTATAGCTCAGTCCTGGCTGCTAGAGAACAGGAAAGCTTCTGGGTTTGTCCTTCTCACAACCTCACCTTGTCTCCAAGAGCTGCCAAGTCTCTCTCAAAGCCTTCATGCTTGCGCTGCAGAGCCTGCACACTGGCCAAGTCATGCCCATAGTTGTCTGTATTTAATGCTTGATTCTTCTCCTCTATCCATTCTTTGGTTTCATCAGCATCTCTGAATGGAGGGGAGGCAAAAAGAATTAAAATGGAGGTCGTGCTGGGTGCTACCCAGGTCACCAACTTCCAGAGAAGCTCACATAGTTGATGGTTCTATGAAATTATTTCCCAAGATGACACAAGCAAACTTTGGCAAAACCGGGTGGTACTCCAGACCTCCTAAGCATGCAGTAATTCCATGCTTTCATGTTAACAAGTCTTTCCTTTTCTAGGAGCAATATAAATAATTCTTGTTGGACCATTGGTGGCTTAACTTCCACTGAACAAGCTGGGGGTTGAAATATGATCTGTTTAGAACAGGCCCCACCATGTTTTACAACTGCTAACAGACCCAGCATTTTACTGAATGAGGAGCAAATATGATACCAGCACCTCACCTGTGGAATCTCTGGACTTCATGGGCACTGCCCAGGAGCTGGCTCCTCTCCTCTGCCAGCTGCTGCAGGGCTCTCCAGCGCTCGTTCAGCTCCTGCAAGGAAAAAACCCTCTGATACTGCAGAGCACGGATTGGAGCAGTTTACACAAGAAACTCTCCTGATGGACTCAAGGAAGCTTTAGGACATTAAACATAAAACTTAGGCATCCAGGAATGTTTTGGTCACTTTATCTGCACCTTCTTCCTTCTGCTGACATTGGCAGACATGCCAGTAACCTCATCTCATCTCCATTGTATCAAGGGGTCTGCTGAGCAATGAGAGCAATGCTGGGAGATTGCCTGAAATAGCTACACTTCTTTCTTCTACAGGATATACATTTCTTCAGCATCAATGGGATAAATGAAAAGACTGGCCTTTCACTACAGGTGAAGGTTATATATTCTGCTTAATCCCAGAAGAATGCACAAATCCAAGTAGCCTACTTAAATAAAGTATTTTTAAGTGTTTCTCCCAAGATTTAACAACAAATTAATTTACGTGTAGAATAAGATAATGATGTAATCTGATGTCAATGCCTCTTTCAGTAAGTTCACTGAAAAAGGTTTATAAAGAGTAATGAAAGACAAAGACTGTGGAAAGGGAGGGCAAAAAACATTCTCAGCTTTAAAATCAGCTCAAAAAAAGTTGTATTATTACCTTAATTGAGTTAAAGGTTGCCACTGTGTGTACCATCATACGTGCAGACTGTATGGAAAGGCAGAAATAAAAAAATGCAGCATTAAAGTCACCTCTAACCCATTAAAGTCACCTCTAACCATTCAGAGCCAATATCAGACTGCAAGAAAACTCCTGAAGAATCCATCCTGACTTGGCTTTCGTCAGAAATACAACTGTACAAGAGTTATGAAGAAGAGGAAGGAAGAAACAAACACCCCAGGTTTCAAAGGTTTCAATGAAAACTGTGGAATACATTAACTTTTATGTGTTTCTTTAGAAGTCTTTTGAATACACTGGCTGTTGAAGATGAAAAAGAGAAGCAAACAATAAGAAAAATTAATGAAAATAAATGTTAAAAGACTAAGAATAACTAGTTGCAATACCCAAGGTATTGTAGATCAGAGTAAAAATAGTTAGAAACTTACAGTAAGTACTATAATCACATTAGTGGAAATTGACACATACAATAATAGTCTTAATAGGGACAGAAAAGAGACATTTTAAAGGCAGCATTCTGTAAGTAATTAAAGAAAACCCAAACCTTTAGTCAGGGGGGAAAATAAATACATTAAAAAATCCCCCAAATCCTTTAACTCTTGGTTGAGTTTTTGGCAAAATCAGCTCAGCAGTTAGTTCAGATATTTCTAGATAATCATCAACACTGGTGAAGGTTAGTTAGAAATATAATTACCATTTCCCTCCAATATGCAATTGCTTTTCTGACAATGATGGATTACTTGCAAAATTCATCCTTTTGCAGATATGCACAGAGGAGAGCTTATGGTTTTCTAAGCTACTATGAGACTGTTAAGATGCACTGCACATGGTACCATCTGTGCAAAAAAAACTTTTCAAAAACCACCAATTGTTGTTGGCATGGCTGCATTTCCTACAGAGCAGCCAGTATGTTTCATAATTACCTGTTTTTCCCATATTCATATAGCTTAAAAGATGTACAAGCAGCTTTAAGTCTAAGAGGGTGGATGAAAGACATGAAATACAGAGGAGAACACAATGTTGGCTCATGTAAAAATATGTAAGGTATTTTTGTGCATCAGCAAGTGACAGCTACTCCATTGTAAGCCTCTAATGACTGGGGAAAGGCTGCTTCTAACTAGAGGGAAAAATAAGCTAGAGATAAATAATGGTAGACAAAGATTCTGCTGTCCACATACAACACAGTCCTTACTAAGCAAATATTCCCATAAATGGCTTTGACTTTTAGGAATAAAAAGGTTTCTTTCTATAAAAAGAACACCAAAAAAGAACTCATGCTAAGTGAACAAGGACTATTTTGCATCTAGTGGCCATGTCATACCTACCAATATTGGTATAAAATTGCCATGACTCATAGTACAAACTCAAAACAAAGTGGATATTCACAGCAGAGGTAAATAATGGGCTGTCAACCATTTCTATGGCCAGAGCAATTCTGCTGGAAGCAGATCTCAGCTACTCTCACAATCATACCTGCAAACAGAGAGCTGACAGTTGGCTTTACCTAAATGGCTTTTATTTTTAAAGCAAAGAGTAGCACCTGTAGGATATCTTTATATATCAAACCTGTATGCAAGTACCTGAATTCCTGCGGAAAGCTCAACCAATTTTTATAACATGCTTGTTGAAGAAGCAAGCAAAGTGAAATTAAAGTCACTGTCCCTAAATCCAGGTCAATTCAAACACCTGCTGAGACTACACCACTGTTAAAACCACTTTGTCAACAGTCCCTAAAAAAAGAGGAGGCATAGAAATAAAAGCAAAGAGGGGATATGAGAAGCTGCATGTAAGAAAGATAATGTGCTGTAGTTGTTGTTTTACTTCCCTGTTGTGTGCTGCTAAGCAATGACACCTACCTTCCAAGGAGAGGCTGTCTTAGAATCAGTTTCATCCTGTTTGAAAATGTAAAGAAACAGCTTTAAATAGGAAGCAAAATCTAAAACTATCAGAACACACTAAAAATCTTCCAGAGTTGTCCACAGAGTGGAGTGCACTGCACAGAGTGCAGTCTGTGAACTTCTTGCACAGAGTCCTCCATGCTCAGTTCTTAGCAGAAAAAGTCAATTTTTACGAGGAAGTATTTCTGTCAATTGAGTTATTCTGGCCCATATTGATTTGTCACTGGGGATAAGACACCAGGAAATAAAGGGATCAAAGATAATCTTTTGATGTCCATTCAAAGTCATTATCAAGTTCCTTAATGGAAATGGACCACACAGTTATGGCTGAACTTCTATTTGCACATCCCAAACCTGTTACAATTGCCACACGACCTCAGAAACCAACACGTACCCTGGGCATCATCCCGTAGACTTCCTGCAAACGAAAAAGGACAAGGTGAAACAACTTCTTATTTTCTAAGAGAAGGGAAGTTTTTGAGAACATTTCTTCTAGAGAGGGGTTAACAGCATCTCATGAAGCCCAACAGTGCTCATACAACCTACACCTTTAGCAAAAATGGGAGCTTGAGTACTCAACCACCCACCAAAACACTTCAACTCAGAAAATAAACAAGCTGCTTCAATATTTTGTTGGCACCAGGTGGAATTAGCTACAGAAATAACACAAGGATGTGAAAAGCTGTGGGGGGAAGAAAAAGGGGTATTAAAAAAAACCCAAAAAACTAAAAAAGAAACCAGAAACGAACCCAAACCACCAGGAAACCCACAAAACCCCTCCACTGTTAGTTGGGCTCTATTTTATGTCTTTTTTCCCCTAGCATTCCTCACCATTTTTCTTGCAAATAAATGATGGATGAATTTCAAATTGATATGAAGCAAAGCTAATGCATGGATACTTCATGACTTTAATATTAAAGAATTATGAAAGAATTAAAGAATTTCCATTCCTAAAAAAGCTCTAGATGGTGCAATTTACTGCTGCACTATTTAAGAATATACAATTTAAAGGTTGCCCTTGTGATGACCACACCAGAGAACAGGAGTTAAGTATTTCTGGTTAGAATACTAATTATAAACAGCAAAAATGAACAGCTAGAATATTGCAATGACACACAAAGCAGAAAACAGACAAAGGAAAGGAAGAAAGCCTTTTGCTTCTCAAGAGGACTAGATTAAGTCAGAAAAAAAAAGTGGACCTGTTGCTGCACTGCTTGAACTTCATCTGCTATGAGCCTGTCTGACTCCAGGTCCTTTGCAACCTTATTTATGTCCTTCAGACGTGACTCGTTTGCTTTTAAATCCTGCAGAGAACAGTAAAAATATCACAGCATTAACATTCACATCAGGAAAACTTGTGGAACAAGATGGAACACATGCAAAGAAAAAAACAAACATAAAATTAATTAGTATTGCAAATATTGGGAGAACAAAAAATAATCTACCAGCACTCTGAAGAAGAGACTTGTTTTTTTTGTATCTTGGGAAAAACTCTACAGGTGGAAACTAAAATGCATCTTTCCTTTTAACAAACAGAGAGAGGAAAAGGGATGTGCCTTACACAGAGTGAAATTCCTCCTAAGCTTGGCAAGTTCTATATTTGCATGTGCTGAAAGAGAGCTTTGGTTCTCTGGGAGCTGAGAAGTGTGTAGCAACCTGAATCAAACTAAAGACTTTTGCATGTGGCATTCTCTCTATCCTCACTAAACAACAAAAAAAGCATGTATCATATAATCATGGAATGGTTTGGGTTGTAAGGGACCTTAAAGATCATCTAGTTCCAACCCCCCTGCATGGGCAGGGACACCTCCCACTAGACCAGGTTGCTCAGAGCCCCAGTCCAACCCTGCCTTGAACATTCCGAGGGATGGGGCTTCAATACACCTTTTTTATTTCCCATCAAAGTTGTTCTCTTCTCAACTATGCTCAGCTATGAAAAATTATCATATATGAACAGAAAACCTGAGGAGAGAGACCAAAACCAACCCACACATTATGCAGCTTACAACATACCTTCTGAAAATCATCAAATTTCTTCTGTAGCACCTCCACCTGCTCCAGATCAGCACCCACTTCCTCATTGGTGAGTGCAGCTTCCTTCTCATTGATCCACTGCTGAAGCTCGTTAGCTTCGCGGAAGAGCATGAATTTCTTGCAGCTCTTTTCCAACATGCCTTTACGTTTTTCTCCCAGCTCAAGAAGAGAGTGATACCTGGAACAAGCAGGGAAGAAAAGCAAGAGGCAGTCAGCTTGACCTGAGCAGAGTCACAGTCATTTACCAAGTACTGGTACCACCAAAGAGGTGGGAAATCCCTGCAGTCTACACACTGTTCTGCTACAGAGTGATCTACATGTATGTGACCAGATCAATGCACCTGTTTCTCCTCTAGATGGATGTGCACACCAAGATGAGATCTCCCACATGCAACACTCCACTGGCCAAAAGCAAACCCCAATCACAGCTTAGGTCAGGATAGGCTCTTAAGCTACAGCAGCACTGCAGGAATGACTCCAGGAGTCCACAGGGTCTCACTTTCTGAGAAGTATTTTCCTAGAGTACATGAAGTTTGCCATCAAATCCCTGTAGCCTCCCAGCTATTGCCCATAAATGTCTTACCTAGCCATCATTCAGTGCCAGATCTGATCAATGTTTAAATAAAAAGGTGAAAGGTGTAACTTCTTTGATAGCACAATTATATTCAACTGGGAAATCCATGAAACTCATTTCACACACACTGTTCTTGTATCTGTGGAATTCCCAAAATCATCAGTGAAATTGCTCCTCATTTACATTAGAATAAAGGCCCAGTAAAACCTCTAAAATGTTTAATTTGGTTTGAACAGGCAAATAAACCTCAAAAGACCAGCTATTTATTTAAAACCACAAGGAAACTGATGTCTCCTCTTTGATTCCTGGTAACCAACTATACACAGACAATCCTACAAGATCTTTCCCAAGGTACTGCTGAAAAAAAGCCAATGGAAGTTTTGCAGACCTGGATACTGAATCTGATCTGATCCCTGTTTCTGAAGAACCTGCATCCAGAAAAGCCACACCCTGAAGACCCATCCTTACTGTTACCCCATTTTAAGTCTTCTGGAAGATGAGATATTCCAGCTGCATCTGGATGAAGCTTTTTATATCCTGATGCATATTGCACTGCTACAGTGATCAACTGCAGCAACTGATTCTCATTATTAAGTGACAAAATTCCCATTTTGATGTCATTAAATCAAGTAATATAACACACTGCTGAGACACCTGCAGGGGCCTCAAGTGGGGAAAGGGCAGCCTCACTATGTTTTCATGTCCCACCTTAGAACACACAGGTAAATGATGAGCGATTACACTTCCCAGCTCAAAAAGCTCCATGATGTAGCATTTTGCAAAGCCAGTAACACAGAGATTACAAAGTCTGTGGAAGAAAATCCTTGATACTGTAATGTCTCTGTATCAAACTGATCATCAACTCCATGGAAGCAGAGTTGTAGTGATTTCCTGTCTCTCCTGGTTTAAGGCTGGATAGAAAGGAACTAAGAAACTTTTGTGTGAAGTTTGAACAAAAACATTCTCCCCTCACTTGAATCAGCCACTGCATGCAGGAAAACAGTTATGAAGCCTCCCCAGCTGCAGGTGTTTGCCTCAGCACACAATTTTTAGTATGAAATACTTGTGAAGCTTATAAAGGAGCCGAGGTAAAATTCCTTCCCTAAAAAGCTGCTTTGCAGCACTTCAGAACTTATCACTAGTGCTTTCACTTTTGATTCTCAAGAAAGAGATTCTCTCTGAAAAGCCAGTCAGGCACAGCCAATGGACACTATTGCTTTGCATCTCCCAGCAACTTCCAAGATTACAATGCAAACTAGGTATTTTTTCTAGAACACATGAACACAAGTTTGAAAATCAAGTGAATGTTATAATAAAAACCTATGTTGCAGATATCATAAAAATCTTAACTAAACAAACTAATGCTTTTTGACTACTCAGGGTAAATGTTACTTTATATGATAAACTAACTCTACCCTTCTCAAACTCTAAGGCAATAACATGTGATATAATACTTAGTATATATATATGTTTTTTTCTACATTTATATGAAGAAATTAGTATTTGTACCTGCATCTCAGAAAATGCAACTGATGCTTTCTAAAGAAAACAGTCTAGGTATCACTAAAGCCTCATTTGATAAGCAAAATGAGCATAATAGAAAATAACATCAGCCAATTTAGCAGCAGAGAGGTGACCAACAAGATAAGCAGCTGGCTGGCCACTTCCTCATTGGTGAGTGCAGCTTCCTTCTCATTGATCCACTGCTGAAGCTCGTTAGCTTCGCGGAAGAGCATGAATTTCTTGCAGCTCTTTTCCAACATGCCTTTACGTTTTTCTCCCAGCTCAAGAAGAGAGTGATACCTGGAACAAGCAGGGAAGAAAAGCAAGAGGCAGTCAGCTTGACCTGAGCAGAGTCACAGTCATTTACCAAGTACTGGTACCACCAAAGAGGTGGGAAATCCCTGCAGTCTACACACTGTTCTGCTACAGAGTGATCTATGTGTACGTGACCAGGTCAATGCACACAGCACCTGTTTCTCCTCTAGACGGATGTGCACACCAAGATGAGATCTCCCACATGCAACACTCCACTGGCCAAAAGCAAACCCCAATCACAGCTTAGGTCAGGATAGGCTCTTAAGCTACAGCAGCACTGCAGGAATGACTCCAGGAGTCCACAGGGTCTCACTTTCTGAGAAGTATTTTCCTAGAGTACATGAAGTTTGCCATCAAATCCCTGTAGCCTCCCAGCTATTGCCCATAAATGTCTTACCTAGCCATCATTCAGTGCCAGATCTGATCAATGTTTAAATAAAAAGGTGAAAGGTGTAACTTCTTTGATAACACAATTATATTCAACTGGGAAATCCATGAAACTTATTTCACACACACTGTTCTTGTATCTGTGGAATTCCCAACATCATCAGTGAAATTGCTCCTCATTTACATTAGAATAAAGGCCCAGTAAAACCTCTAAAATGTTTAATTTGGTTTGAACAGGCAAATAAACCTCAAAAGACCAGCTATTTATTTAAAACCACAAGGAAACTGATGTCTCCTCTTTGATTCCTGGTAACCAACTATACACAGACAATCCTACAAGATCTTTCCCAAGGTACTGCTGAAAAAAAGCCAATGGAAGTTTTGCAGACCTGGATACTGAATTACAGATCCCTGTTTCTGAAGAACCTGCATCCAGA